TTGTACAAAAAAAAACATAATCTTAAAACATTTTTTTCTTGAATATGAACATGGAAGGAAAATTGCAACATATATTAATGCTGTTTTCTATAACTACACACGTGTAAGTGAAACGCTATTTAATTATCTTGAGGGATACAGCATGAGATATCATAAATTTGTGGTAAACAATACTGGTGCAGAACAATTCAATAGTTAACATCGCGTGTTGTAACGAATGGCGTGGGAATTAAGCGAATCGCACAGCACACACTTTAATGTAGTAATGCTTGTAATATATTCATGAACGTACGTATTCTGTATATGCAATTCCTCAATGTTGTTTCATTGTAACACCGGATGTTGAACCAGGAGAATGGCACTGACTGGTAATGAGTACTGCAGAGTGCCGATATTGACGGTATTATTATGAATAATTTAAAACTATGAACCGTTCACTATTGAACGAAGATGGAAATTATGATGACTCTAAAGTGGCTGATGATGCTGTACTGATTGGACTGTGTAACAAATTTATGTTTTGTTCCTGGGTAGTAAGTGTTATTTCCGAATTGCTTATGCCTCAAAAGTACAGAAAATGGCTATTATTCCCAACAAATGTTGCTTTTGTGAACAGGACAGTGATATTTTGAAATTTACCTATTTTCCAGAACATTCCAGATAGATTCAGTGCTGGGTAAACGTGGAGTAACTTCTAAAACATTATAGAACTTTCCAGTAATATAAATAATAGTATAGATACAGGGGCCTTAAGCCAGTTCAGTTTAGTTCCAGCTGCCTAAGTTTTTAATTTTAAAATGTTTTACAATTTTCAATGTAATTGAAAAAATATATAAAACATATATCAGATCTTAGTTATGGGTGAAATAAATGTATTTTTGTAGGATGGTACAGAGGGGAAAAGAAAGCCATTAAGTTTGCTATCTCAATAATTTGGCGGGAACCCACTGACCACTCAAGAAACTGTTATTTCTGCATGATGGACCCTTCCAAACGTCGGATTGGCAAGAATACACCTGCTATCTCGTATCCGGACTTTCCTTCATCCTGCCATAAGCTCCCCGTACCCACTCCTCCAGAGAGAGAGCAGCCATCTTTAGAAGAGAGCAGCAAGTCTGAGAGTGAGGAAGACGTAGATCCAGATTACAATTTCAGAGGTGGAGCTGAGGAGAGAAACCCATACTACCCCAACCAACATTACCTCAACGACTTGATCAGAGATATTGGTCTCACCAAGCCCAATGCCGAGCTTTTTATGTCTAGGCTCAAGCAGTGGAACTTGTTGGATGAAAGTGTGCAAGTCGCAGATCAGAGGAAGCATCACCATCCTTTTTGCAGCTTCTTCACCCGTCAAGATGGGCTCTGCTTCTGCCACAATGTGACCCGCCTGTAACCAGAATGAGTGGCGCCTCTTCATTGACAGCTCATCCAGGAGCCTCAAAGCCGTGCTGCTCCATAATGGTAACAAGTACCTGTCTCTTTCCCTGGCTCACTCGGTACACCTCAAAGAGGATTACAACAGGATCAAGACCTTGCTGGACGCCTTGAAGTATGATGAGTATGGCTGGGAGGTCATCGGATACTTCAAAATGGTGGCATTACCCAAGGCAGTTTTACCAAGTTTCCCTGCTATCTTTGCCTTTGGGACAGCAGGGACACCAAGGCGCACTACCACAGGCGGGACTGGCCACAGCGGACCGGGTTCTCTGTGGGGAGGAACAACGTCAAGTGGGGGTCACTGGTGGACCCCCAGAAGGTGCTGATGCCACCACTGCACATCAAATTGGGCCTTATGAAACAATTTGTCAGAGCTGTAGATAAGGAGTCAGCAGCCTTCAAGTACCTTCAATACTACTTTCCTAAGCTGTCTGAGGTAAAGGTCAAAGCCGGTATCTTCTTCGGACCACAGATAAAGAAGATCCTGGAGTGCAATGAATTCCCCAAGAAGCTCACGAGTAAGGAGAAAGCGGCTTGGAGCAGCTTTGTCGCAGTGGTTCGTGGCTTCCTGGGCAATCACAAGGTCGAAAACTATGTGGAGCTGGTTGAGACTCTGGTGAAGAACTACGACACAATGGGCTGTAGGATGTCCCTCAAAGTCCATATCCTTGATGCTCATCTTGATAAATTCAGGGAGAACATGGGAGCATACTCGGAGGAGCAAGGTGAGCGTTTCCACCAGGATATACTGGACTTTGAACGCCGCTACCAAAGATAATATAACGAGAACATGATGGGAGATTACATTTGGGGGCTGATTCGTGAAAGGGATTTACAGTATAATCGTAAATCTCGAAAAACTACTCACTTCTAAATCTTTTGTAGTCATTTTGGTATTACATTAGTATAAATACATGTTAATTTTGATTCATATGTTGTTTTTTATGATTTTATGTGAACGAAAAGACACAAATTCGCCCGTATTCTCATTGAAATAGGTACATTTAAAAATATCACTGTCCTGGTCACAAAAGCAAAGTTTGTGGGGAATAATAGCCATTTTCTATACTTTTTATGCCTAAGCAATTACGAAATAACACTTACTACCCAGTAACAAAAATTGTGTTACATAGTGTTATTTAAGTTGGCTCTATTCAGGATTTTATTTGACAACCTTGAGAACATAATTTTGCTGGCCTAAGGGCCGAACTATTACTGCCATTAAAAGAAATGTCAAGAAAATGCTTTAAAGTTTTTTTTTTTATAAAGCTATACCAATGGTGTGCAACCATCCAATCGTAAAAAAAATACATATTTGTGCTCAATAGCTGGGATCCATGACAATAAATTGTTACTCTCAGAGCTATCCAATGCATTGCTGGAGTGTTGCATTTCAATTGGTCATCCATCCTAATGAAGGCGATGACGATGATGAGCATTATGATGTTACACGTAAAAACATTGTGAAAGTGCAATTGATGTTGCAGCATGTTTGACAGTTTTGTCAGACGTTATGGGTTTGTCTTTGGTAAGTAGCAGCGGCATTAAATCAATCGGTCAATACTTCATTCTCATCTTGGTTGCTGAGCTCACTCAAGGTAGTCGTTGCCCAGCAGGGGCAGAAAAATCTTCCCTCGTTCTGCAGGTTTCCCTGCCCGGGGGAATCTGCAACCTTTGCCTGTTGCCTCTAGACATGAATGTTGACAGCTGAATTTTTCAAATGTTTTCTTGCTTGTTTAAGATTCAGTTAAGTTGTCACGACCGTGTACAAGGAACAATTCATGATTATATTTTCATATTAATGGACAATAGTTTCTGGCATTTGAACATAGGTGCATGAGGAACGATGCTCGGCATTCTCATGGCAGAATTGGATAAGCACCTTGAGAGTTCAGAATACCAGGTTAAACGAGAAGCAGTAGTGTAGATGTAATGATGGGAATCATATTCTTAGGTTTTTTCGGTAAAGTCACATAGGTAAAAAATTAAAATTTATAAAAGTAAAATAAAAATAAACTAAAAATCACGACGTTTCGGAGGCAACACAGGTGAAGACAGAAGCTTGTGTTGCCTCCAAAACGTCGTGATTTTTATTTTATTTTTATTTTACTTTTATTAATTTACATTTTTTACCTATGTGACTTTACCGAAAAAACCTAAGAATATGAATCCTTGCAGTCACGAAAGCTTGAAATCTAGAATTAATGATGGGAAGTTTACGATGGGCGGGGAACTTGTGCAGGATGGAGGAGGGCACTCAGAGGACCACTCAATGATCAGCAAAAACCACGTAAAAATAAAAAAAGGTGGTGGGATATTGTAAGGACAGACTTCGGAGGCTGGCTGGATCGAAGTCATGGAGAGGTATTATGTCTTATTGATATTGAGTCCAACATGATTCATTGATAAATATACTACCATAGTTTACTTTGATGACTATCTTGAAACCTGTATACAATATATATGCTCTAATAGTGATTAACTCAGGAATATCTCAATGGGAGTCCCAAAGTATTGTCTAATTCATTTGTCTGTGAGTGGAAAGAAGTTCCCAGAGATAATCCATTCATATGATTCGATAATGTTTAAGCTTCAAACAAATATGTTGTAAACCTACTTACTTCACTGCCATCTACAAGCAATGCAGTGCCTTTAAAGTGGGTATTTTATGCAAGTTCCACTTCTATGTGATCCATAAACATTGCCTCTAATTTGGGTCATTAGATTCCAATTTGTATATGTATGTCTTACAAAGGATTGAATACATAGGGGGGGAGGTCTAATGAGACTGAACTCCCAGCGGTGTGTGTTAATAATGTGCAGAATTGAAAGACATCTGCGTGTCATCTCATCCACCAACCCTGCATCCAAATGACTGAGTTAGAGGAATATGATACTACAACTCCAGTACATTTGCCAATTTTGTTTAATGACCTTTAACATCTTCACCAAGCAAACAACATACATTTATAAACATTCTGTCACAATGTCATGTCTATGGTTTAAGGCTTCAAACTTGAGAGTAATCTAATTGGAGCAGAGCACACTAGACATCTGAACCATGAGGCCACACAGTCATGCCAAAAAAACATTCATTAAAATAGCATGGTCATTAACATACACTGCCAACAGGCAAATGTAGGGAATTTCTAAACAGTTCAGTTGCATTGTTAACATGTGCATTGGACTTTTCCACCATTATTAATGGGAATAAGTATATGCTCATTTACAATGTGTTATGTTTCTCGGTTTCCCTGTTGCTGTGGGAAGTGGTGCACCAAGCTAAACATTTCAGAGGCGAGCGAATAGTAAATCATAATTTCAGAAATTATTATTAATTTCCAAATTTTACGTCAAAAATGTGCTGAGATATATTGGCCATCTAAATATGTGCCCGATATTGCCCCTTCTACTCCTATTCCCCCCCCCCCCCCCGCTCTGCCTCAGTTGCATCTCAGGGTGTAGACTCCTGGAGAAATATTACATTCGGGGCAACCCCCCCCCCCCCTCACTGGGCTTTGCCCACCAAAAGCGATGACACCGTGATGCCCGCCGCCCCACAGACATGGCGCGGTGCGTGGAGGTGAATGGCTCGGAGACGCAGGCGGTGCTCGGCGGCGTGCTGCCCAACCGCGTGTACAAGGTGCGCATCACGGCCGCGAGCGCTGCCGGCTACGGTGTGCCTTCGGAGTGGATGCAGCACCGCACACCGCCATCGATCAATCGCAGAGGTGGGTGGGCCGTGTGCGTCGCGCAGCCCCAGGCGAGCGTGACCTGTGCGCGGAGTTTAACGTGATAGGATACCTCATGCACTTGACCCTGTGACACGCTCCTTGTCTTCCTCCGCATGCTATTTTGTAACTCCTGACCTTTTGACAATATTTCCTGCATTGGCTGTTGGCCCATTTTTATTATTAAAGTGAGACATATGGCTTTTATAAAAAACAATTTCTAGACAGTTCTACTTGGTGGGGCAAGGAGGAGGCTGTTGTATAAGAAAATAAATGGAAAAAAAACACATTTAATGTTTTGCCAGTCCTTGCTGAATCATATGTTATGGTGACTTATAATCTCTGTGATGAGATTGATTGAGATGTATTGTTTGTTTGACTGACACAAAATAATAGTCCACAGGAGCCAAAGGCTGAAGTAAAAGAGTAGTGTATTGTAGCATAGATTTAAGTTGTTTGGGATACAAATTATAATGAATTCTCATGAGCACATGTTACAGTTGAGAAGGAATCAAGCGTATTTGTCAGGGTTTTCTGTAAGCATTGCAAGGACATTATGAAGACAAGTTATTGATTGTTTTGTTTGCATTTTGCAAGGAATATTCTGTCCATTAAGGGCAAGTGTGCGACTTAATCTAGTCCTGAAAGTTCCAAGAGAGGGAGAGAAACGTTGGACCGGGGAAACGTGGGTAGAACACGAAAAAAGTGGATTAACACGAAACTGTAAAATTACAAATGCTTCACAAGAGATCAAATATGACTGTGAATTGTTTGGTCTGAGACATTAGTCACAATGGGTTTCCGGAAAGATATTGGAATACATGGAGTATATTCATCTAAGTGGATATTGCTTCCCCGTATATGTTTTTAAAATAAAGAATCACCCGACCACACTTGGTGCTGTAAATTGGATGTGAAGACCCCTTCGGAATAATAATTTACAATTGTAGGCCATTGCATGGAAGTATCATCATTTGGACCATAATTGTACAATTGTATACAACTATATAGTCAATATATTACCATACTCTATGCAATTGCAGCTTCTCAGAGCCTCGCTTATACAATGGAAAATGAATCATAATGGGCTACCCCAATGTTAAATAAAGAAAATTGTGACTCATATTTTAACCATCAAATGCATTGTACCCATTATAGATGTTCACAGCGTGGTTGTGGAGTAGCACGGTAGAGGTTTGAGTTGGTTTGTTTCTGTAGGATTATGTATAGCACGTGTTGTAATGCACATACTAAAAAAAATTTTCTACAATTGTATTGTAAAAAAAAACTTCTCAATTCTATTTGAATGTATGACAGGATTTTATGGAATCTTCTCTTATTGGATTGCTATTTTCCCACAAGAGGGTGAACTTCCCGCGTGTGTGTGTGTGTGTGCCCCAGTGCCCCTGGCCCCAGCAGAGCTGAAGGTGGAGACGAAGCCGACCTCGTTGTGGGTCATCTGGTTGCCACCCACCAACATGAGCGGCGTGCGTGGCTACCGCATCTTCTACCGCAAGGCCCACAGCACGAATGAGGCACAGCCACCAGAGTCCAACAGGGATGGAGGACGAATGTCCACCCTGATTCACAAGGACGTGTGGATGTTTGGGCCTGTGTCGCTCCGCCGCAGGACCCGGCAGTTCAAGATCACCGGCCTCGGTAAGCGCGTGGCTTTGTCAAATGCACGTACAGGATTGTAATTTTCCACATTCGATTGTGTGCTTATCCAAACGTATTATTGTCCACCTTTTACATCATTAGTCTCCATATGTGGTTACGTCACTTAATTTGCAAGCGGAAAGTTGCGAGTTCAAATGCCATTCAAGTGTGGCTTCGGTCTAACATTTTTTCTGGGTTAATAAAGTATATAACACTTTTCACCACTCAGGGCTGCCAACCGACATTAAACATCCCTTTTGATTGTCGGCGAAGATATATTCCACTTTTTAAAAGTTATATTAGTCTGAGCACTCGTAAATATATCTGCATTAAGTAACCAAATCGCCAGGCTTCATTCTGCAAACGTTAACGTAGTTAGTTTCTCAGTTTACATAATAATTGTGTTTGTCTCTGTTGCATACTTGTTATGGGTAAGAAGCAAACTGGAAAACATCCCATTTTGGTTAATATGTGTTGTCTGCCCACACTGCAAGTGTGTTGATTGCTTAGAAAAGTTTTCATATTTAAGGAGTTAAAAAAAAATAGCAGTAAAATATTATTCTTATATTTACGAATATCATACGCTTACTCCTGTAAGCACAGTTTTCAACTAAGTGGTGTATACATTTCACAGCTGGGGCATATAATGAAGAAAGAAATAAATACATCAAATAATGGTGGTAAATGAAGTGGGAAGGAGGTAAGGGGAGGGATTTGTATTTTGCTATCTACCTTGTTATACTAGTGAACGTGTTACAAGTCGAATGATTAATTATCCCCCCCCCCCCCCCCTCTTGAGATTCTATATTCACTGATTAATGAAGGCTTCTAGTCCTTGGGCCAGACCAGATATTGGTACCACCCAAGCTGGCAAAACTTCAATGGCGCCATTTTTTTTGTTACACCAACATAAGTAAAATAATATATGATAACCTTTCCAAATGAGCAGCTATTTCATTTTTCTCGCAGGAAACTAGTTTTTGCACCTATCGCAATCACGCCTATTTGCCTGGACGTTACAAATAAAACATTCCAACACCTCTGCTGTTAATTAAGACAATACATAATTTACAAAATGTATGTTTGTCCCCAAGGCATGTATTTCATACATTTTCTTGCATTTGTTCACACTTGTTCTTCAATTTCAGTGACTTAGTTAAGTCTGGAATAGATTGGCGCTATCTGTTTTCCTTCTGTTTCTAGCAGCTTGTTTGCTCATGATCATTTACTGGCAGGTGAGGCAAGTACTGGTGGTTCTGTATTATTTCTGTTCAGTAAATATATCTAAAGTGCTAACTTTACCCTAAATGTATTGTTAATGTACCTGTTAAGATTATTAGTTAAGGCCAGGTACTACAGGCAAAAATAATTATTTTTGTTCAGTTTGTCAGTTTTGATGTTTTTTGACATGGAATGATTTCCTGTCCTGGTTGGAAGCAACTCACACGAACGACATGGTTCACCTGGATGAGACACTGAGGACCATTGACAACCTTGGGAAAGAAGTCTCAGAAGCTTCTTGGAAGGAGGTCCTCGAGAACAGCTCATGTGCACGCATCATGGAACTGTTTGAGGTCTACCGCGAGTTCCTCAGAGGTGGAAACGGCAGCCTCTCGACCTTCTGGATGTCCTATTTGGAGATAGTTGAAATCTTGTTGGGGCTCATCCGAGCATCCAGAGAGGGAGACTGGATGCTACACTTGCCAAGCATTCGAGCAATGATCCCATGGTGCTTCGCTTATGATAGGATGGATTATGCACGCTACCTCCCCTACTACTACGCCCAGATGTCTCAGCTGCCCATCACACACCCAGATGTGTACACGGCATTAATGGAAGGAGTCTTCTCAGTTCAACTGGGCTCCACCAATCCCTTTGGACGAATCCCTGTTGACCAAGCTATAGAAGAAATGGTGAACAAAGACACCCAGACAGCTAGAGGGGCCAAGGGATTCAGCTTGAAGCCAGGAGCCGTGACCAAATATTACTGAACAGCTTAGTACAGAAGCATGTACTTCAGACAGCTGAGAGACCTGATAGGTCAAGGCAGGTCCAAACTGTCCAATCCAGATCTACAAGATCCAAGGATCAAGAGAGATGAAGCAAATGTCCAGTCTCTCATTGACCTTATGGAGAATAACTGGATCAATCCTATGTCCCCTAATGAGACAGATCTGGTTAGCCTCTCCACTGGCACCATGGCTCCACCTGATGTGACCAGGGATCTCTTGAGAGCTCTTGAGATAGGAGAAGAGGCCTACCAGGTATTCAAGCAAACAAGAATAGCTGAGGACCCACCATCTGTGAAATTCCAGGGCAAGATGACCGAGCAAAGTCTGAAGAAATTATCCAATATCAGCACAAAAACAGCACATGGAAAGAAAGCATAGGATGTGGTTCTGAAGGCAGATAGAAACCTGTTCAGTCACATGATCCTAGTGGCTGAAAGCAGGAAGGTGAATATGAAGGATGTCCTTGCCCACCCACTGGGCCCACTGCCATGGACACTGGCAAATGCTGATGGGTCCCTACGAAAAACAAACAATGCTGCACTTGCCAGAGAGCTTGAAAAGAATGTGTCTCCTGCAGAAGACATCCCAACCCCATCTACTTCCATCATTGATGGGATGAGCCTGGTCCAAAAAATGAATGGCAACAACAAAACCTTTGCATAGGTGGCAGAGTCAGTCTTGACCCATGTCCTCCACGAGGGGGCACAGAGTGAGGGGATTGAGGTTTTTGTTTTTGATGTCAACCGACAGACTTCGATCAAAGATACTAAACCGGGGTGCAGACACCACTCTCCAGTACAAGAACCTTGCAGGGGGACACCACGTCCAGCAGTGGAGAAAATTCCTGTGCAGTCCCTCCAACAAGACTAGTCTCATCAAGTTTCTGGTGGAAGAGTAGAAACTCCCACGATACAGAGAGATGCTGCATGGCAAGGTGTTGTACTGTACATGACCTGTGAGGAAACCTGCTACAAGTTGACAGAAGATGAGTGTGAGGAAGTAGCAGAGTTGCACTCCACGCATGAAGAAGCATGCATTTCATGCAGCAAATGTGAGCTCAAAGGCAGTTATCATCACAGCAGAGGACACTGATGTCATGGTGCTTTGTTTTGGCTTCCAGAAGGACATCACCTGTCCCATCTACCAGAAATGTGGGACACAGAACCGCACACGGTTTGTCGATATCAGCAAACTGGCAAGGTCACTTGGAGACAGCATCTGCGACAGCCTAATTGGCTTACACACATTCACAGGCTGCGACACTGTCAGTGCATTCGCCGGTCGAGGGAAGCTGAATGCCCTAAAGATGGTGAGAAAGGACAGTTCCTGCTAAGAGACTTTTAGTCGACTGGGGCAGTCCTGGAATGTGAGTGATGAGCTGTTCCAGAAAATTGAGCAGTTCACCTGGTTGCATGTATGTTGCTAATAGCAGCACTGGTGAGGTGAACGAACTGCGCTACCAGCTCTTCTGCACCAAAAGGGTAGAAGTCGAGTCCAGCCAGCTGCCACCATGTAGAGACTGTCTCTTCACGCATGTTCAACGAGCCAACTATCAGGCAGCAATCTGGAAGTGCTGTCTGCAGGCTAACCCTGTGGTGCCAAGCCCTACTGAGTATGGATGGACAGATGATGATGGCAAGCTGGCCATTTACTGGATGTGCTCCCCACCCACACCAGATGTGGTCTTGGAACTGCTCGCATGCAAGTTTGTGCGTTCATGCAAAATGCCAAGCTGAACGTGCCTGTCAAATGGATTGACATGCACAGACATGTGCAGGTTACAGATCTGTAGTAATCAAAAACTGCAGGATGATCCAGAACCTGACTTTGAACTCGGAGTCAGATGACGAGATAGACGAGCAGTTTGAGGAGTGATACAGGGTGGTTATTCTGATGGTATTATTGTGGTAGTAGTAGTACGCACTGATGCACAGTGTGGTGATTCTGGACTTGGTTACCCTTGTTAACACCATGTAAGTACACACAGAGCTTGATAACAATAATGTAACCTTCTTCACATATACCCATCACTAACGATATATATGGGATTACATGCATCATTGACGAACTGTATGCGAATGTCAACGTTTATAATATTCAAGTAGTTTCTTACCTCACTATGGTATTCCTTATTATCCTGTGTTTTTATTGTGTATTTAAACCAATAAAGACCAGTTTGTGACCTAATTGACTATGGTCCAGGTAGTTTTTCAGTAATAATACCCATGTCATCTTTCCGGACGCCTGTCATAGGGTATGGGTATAAAAGTCATAGTAACTACAACTAAGATGCCACTCCGCAAAGGTTATCATATCAGAATATGTCCCACACACATGGAGAATTACAAAAATCATGACTAGACTTTGCCACCTCAGGTGGTCCCAATAAGCGATGTTGTTGGTCTGGGCCCATGGACTATTTGTTACACGCCTAGTTGTTTCAGTATCGTTACCAATGAATGTATATTTTATAGTTTTTCATAACGAGCCATTTCCCCACTATTTAAACAATACCGTGGAACATATTCACTCTTTGGTCATGCAGCTTGTGTCAAAAGTGGTTTACTTTGCTAAAACACTTAACTTTTCTCTTCTCATGCAGGATTTTTTGCATGTAGTACCTTTTAAACACATACACGCAAACCATGCTAAACTGTTATTTTGCCTTTTGTGCATATTTTGATTCCATTGCCCCATACCTAACTATCTTGAATGTGGGAATATCAGTCAGGGTCTCCTTTCAATACATTTATTCTCATTGCAGTTCCCTGATAGGTGGCATTCTGCATTCCATTCACAAGACGCTTGTTGAGCTGGCCCCCCTCTTTGTATATTCTGCAGTAACTCTCCTGAGCAGATAAGCTCACAGTGATTAGCCCATCTGTAAATATGTAGAGCATATTTTGAGATGAACATAATCCATTGTAATTTATATGATTAGAGTAAAAACCCCCATCTAATCTTTGCACCTGATAGACTCAGAGTGAT